GTAAGTAGTATTTGAATTAATAGCTAAAATAAAAAGCAAGGTTGAAGTGAAAATATAAAAAAGAAAATTTAGTCAAAAGTCCCTTAACATAATTATGTAGTGTTAAAATGACAAGTGAATATTTTCTAATGCATAAAGTACTTTAAATTTTATGTATCATGAATTAAGGACATAAAAAATATACATGCATTTTATTTTAGACAATTTTATCATTTTATCTTCCATTACTTTTCTCTTCCTATTTCAACCATCAACGTGATATACCTTCTCTCTCTCTCTCTCTCTCTCTCTCTCTCTCTTCATATATATATATATATATTTCAAGGTAAATTTTTTTTAAAGATCGTAAGAGATGGTTCGATCGAGTTGTAAAACTTGGATAATTGCTATATTTCGAATCTTATTTGTTGTATTTGGATAACTGTTTTGATCGAAACTTGCAATTGAGACGTACAAGAAGTGTGTATTTTGTTTGTTTCTTTAGATGAAAGAGTAAGTAATTGTTGAAAATGTTTTTGGTGAGATTGAAGATTGAACAATGTGTATTTCATTTGTTATGATTATTTTTTATTGAGTTTAACTAAATAAGGATGTTTTTTTGTTTGTTGTTGCATTAACTTTACTTTTCTGGTAATATATGGCTTGTGTTTTATTTGTTGATATGCTCTGTTTGAATATGACAGTGAACTTTTACTCTAATTTGCTATAACAATATGTAATCTATCTTTTGTTTGCTAATTCTGTTTTAAATTAACAGTAAAATTTTACTTTGTTAATATTATCATTTCATTGTTTTAATAAAAAAATTATTCAATTTTCCAATTGTTGCGATAACAATTATAGTACTATAGTGTTTAGTGATGATGATAGTAATTTACTATTTAAATACTAAAATTTCATAGTGAAATTTACTATGAATCAGTGTAAAATTTTATTGTAAAACAGAATCAAATCTTACTGTTGATGTTAATTTCGACAATAAATATTTTGATTTTTTTTTAAAGAATTTCATGGCCAACATGGATTAAATAGATTTTAACGAGAGGATTCTAAAAGGGACTATACTGTCTCTAGTCCAGTTCGACCTAGTGGGTCAAGCTTTGAGCCATGTTTTGATAATTTAAACCGTTCACATTTTAGGGTATGTAGAATACATCATCCCTGCAAAAAATGAAGTCAATCGGATAACAAAAATCACATGTTCAAATCAATTTTATATGACCTGTTTATTTTCTCACTATCTATTTTTTTCATACAAAATTGATTTGACACGTGGTTGCCGTTATCTGATCAACTTAATTTTTTGCAAAGATGACGTACTCGAAAAATTCTAAAAAATGAATGATTCGGATCATCAAAACGATGCCAAAAAATGAGTGAAAGAGCCCAACATCACATCTCCAGTCCAATTTAGGATTGAAGAGAAGCAAGTCTCATTCTAAAAATATCAATTTTATTAAAAACCGACACAAATCAAAAATTATATCATTTTAAAATTTGAAATATAAAAATTAGCCACTCACTAAGGATATTTTGACAATAGTGGTGTATGTTGGCGTTTTCATGACAATTTATGTGATTGTCCTTAATGCATAATAATTTTATTACTGGAGGATTTTGACCAAATTCTCCTATATAAAATGGATATGTAAACTATTATATATATATATTATAGCCATTTTTACATAGGCAAAATGCTTAATAACATTGGAAATGCTATTATAATATTAGATATTTGGCATTTTTTCCTAAAGAGATTTTCGCATTTTCACACAAAGTGCTTGACAAGTGGCTTTTTTTAGGTAAAAAAGTCAAAAAATTACTAAAAAAATAAAATAAATAAAAAGTTAACAACTTATATAAAAAAGTCAAAGATTCTATTTTCTCTCTACTTTTTGCATATGTTTTCGTAAAAACTAAAAAGTCATCCCAAACATACTAATTTTTTTTTACATTATATTTTAGCCAAGAAACCAAAAAATTATTAAATAAATATGTTTCTGAACGAGACCTAAAAGAAATGATCCTGCACACAAAGGGGTGTTTTAAAAAATTAGTAAAAAGTTAACTTTTTAACTTTTTTTGTGACTTTTTTGGCCAAAAAATTAACTTTTTTGGTGACTTTTTTATGACTTTTTTAGAAGAAATTGGTAAAAAGTCAAAAAATTAAATTTTTACTAAGTTTCCAAATTAGCCCAAAGTAGCTTACGTAAACAATAAATAAATTAACTTATGTAGTCAAGGACTTTGAAAAGTCCTGCCAAACACCACCTAGTCAAGAAGGACTTTAGTATGCGATCAAATTTAACAGTGTCCACCTATTCACTTTCCACTAATTATATGAAGACAGATCTAGTATCTTAAAAAATAAAAAACAGAAGCTAAAATCACATATTACTTAATTTTCAGATAATTAATTCTTTTCAACTTATTTAAAAGTCTTATATGACATTACACCAAAGACTCTTACACAAAATTTGAAAATAAAAATAGAGTAATAGTATATGTACCAATTAGTGTACCAACTAATGTACCAATTAATGATGTGTTATAATTTAAAAAGTATTTGGCATTTGTAATGTAATTAATGAGTGTGCTCAATAATAATATTATAACTAGTATTAATACACTAATTAATATATTAATTGATATATATAGCACCACCAATAAAAATAATAAAAGCTACTCCAAAAAACAACATCAAACAGAGCATATATGGATCATTTTGCCTTTCTACACTGCCAGTATAGCAATTAGCATGGCTTGGATTGATGTAGGCCTAGTCAGCCCAATTTGTAGTGGAGGTACTGGTTGATCTTATATACCGTCACGTGATACTCTAACAATGTTATGATTTGTGGAGTGGGTGCGACTTGTTAGAGAATTAAAAAATATAAGAAGACATGATGGATTGTATTAATTGGCGAGAAATATGGTCATGTGGTGCCCCCCTAAGTTAGATTAACTAATAATTTTTGGAGAACGTATTAATAAGTCTCATATATAAAGTTTAAAATTCATCTAGTTCCAAAACAAAATACTTGCACAAATTAATCTTATATATTTTTAATTGTTACCAAAAAATCCTTTTTTTAAATAAAAAAAAATTAAAAATGCTCATACATCTCACCACTGTCGGACATCCGTTAGACGGTCATCGAAGACTCGCCGGATTATTTAACATCACTGGGAAGTCGCTGGAATATCATTGAAAATTTGTCGGAGTATCGCCAGAATATTCTGAACGGCATCGGAAGTCGTCAGAATGTCCAGAATATTCGCTGGACGTCAAAAATATTGCCGGTGACTCACCGGAATGTTTAGAGTATTGCTAAAAAAAGAAGAAGAATAAACTGATAAATTAAAGTGAAAAAATATAGCAAAATGTACTAAATATTGATAAATTGAAGGAAAAAAAAATTAAAAACAAACAACAAAAGGAATATATATATATATATATATATATATGTTATTTTCAATTTTTGTAGGATTTAAGTAAATAATTTTCAATATTAATCAAATTGAAAATAAGTTTTGAAACTGTAAAATGTTACAGTTTCAAAGTATGATTCTATTAAGTATTTATCCTTATTAATCAAATCCCATGTGGAACATGTGGACACCATTTAATCCCATAACTTTTTGGGTACACCCAAAAGTCCTTTCCTCCATCTCTCTGGTTTGTTCCTCCCTTTTTACGTTTTCTTCTTTCTCTTTTTTTCTACATTTTTCTCTTATCGTCTTCGTCATAGACGATGGTGCAAGTATTCATGTCTTTCTCTATTGCTCGGGATTCACTGATAACCGCCAACCATCGAAATCAACTCGTGATTTCACTCTCACTGACGGCGAAGATATATATTTCCGACGAAGAAGATGAGTAGATCTACTTAGATCTGATGTAGATCTACTCAGATCTACATCAGATCTGAGTAGATCTACATCAGATTTGGCTAGATCTAAACAAAAAATAGTTGTCGGAGTACAATCCTCTCTCTACATCTGCCTTTCTCCTTCGATCTCTTTTTTTTTCTCTGCTATACACTTCTGTTTTTCTGTTTTAATGGAGAAAATTTTCGAATTCTGAACAAGTAGTTTTCGAGTTTTAGTTACAGGCGGTGAAAACTGTAAAATTTTGCAGTTTCAAAATTTTTTTTTGGTGCTGGAATGAATCATGGTTTAAAACTGTAAAATTTTACAGTTTTATAACATTCTTTAGAACTGTAAAATTTTACAGTTTCATAACATGTTTTTTAATTATTTTTTTTTTCGGTAATATTCTAGACATTCCGGTGAGTCTTCGACGACCGTTATACGGAAGTCCGATGGTAATAAGATGTGAACAGTGTCTGTAAATTAAAAAAAAAAAAGGGATTTTTTGGTAATAATTAAAAATGTATTGGACTAATTGGTGCAAGTGTTTTGTTTTGGGATTAGCTGGATCTTGAACTTGGTACATGAGACTTATAAGTAAGTTCCCCAAAAATTAATAAGATAAAATGTCACGTCCAAACCATAATCATTTTATTTTTTCTCTTACAAAAGTCAAAAAAACTATCTCAAATGAGACTTTTGAACCTTAGGCTAAAATTATTAAAATGTCAAAATATAAAAAAATCAACCTACATCCCAAACGAACTCTTAGGAGCACTTTGTGAAGAAACTAAAAAAGTCAACTTTTTGATTTTTTAATATTTTTAGCCAAAGAAACTAGTTTTTTTTTGCCAAAAACATCAAAAAAGTCAAAAAATTAAAAGTCAATTTTTTACCAACTTTTCAAAATATCACTTAATATATTGTTAGTAGTTAAATTACAATATATGTCATTATTTCTTTATAAACTCAAATCTGAAATCTCAAATCTTACACACCTTGACATTTAAGTGTCTTCTCTGCGACAACTTGGACAATTGCCCAAAGTCACGCAAGACGAGTTTGAAAACTAAATTTTTTTTGGATGTAATTCAAAAAAGAAAAAGAAAAAAAAAATAAAAAAAGATAAAAGAATAAAAATATAAATTGTTTTTTTGGTGTTTGCCATTGCCAAACTCACCAATCGTGCATTTACCAAATAATCACATGCTGCATCTTAAAAGCGTCCAAACAGGAGGAGTACCAGCACGACGTCGACGGCCTGCCTTCCAATTTTCGGGTTTGTTGTTCTCTCTCTCTCTCTCTCTCTCTCTCTCTCACACACACACACACACATGATTACGCCATGATTTAGTATAAACAATCGGTCTGTTATTAGATTCTTATAGTGAATTTCAATTCATTATTTGAAAGAATGCACAGTTTGTTTTGTTCAAAAAATTGTGATCTGCATCAGATAATCGTTCTTACAAGTTGCTTCTACTTTGCTAATATTTTGTATTTGATTGATACCTAATGGCTAAAACCCATTATTTAATTACACTAGTTCTTACAGGAAATTACATACAAAATTTATATCAATTCATTGTTACTTTCCATCCGGTAAGGTGAGGTTTGTTAAGTTTGACTGCTCATCTAGTTTGGTTTTATATATACACATAGAGAGACACATATATGCATATATATGAAATTGAAGTCATTTTTAGCTGATTATATCTGTAGTTGTTGTAGGGTCCGCCTTTAATATCCCAAATCCAATCAACTTTGTCCTAATCTGAGACCCATTTTTTTATGTTATATTTATATATTTTTAATCAAAGCATTTAACTGTTCTATATCAACTAAAGCACCTTCCAAAAGAACAAAACACTATTAATTTGACAATGTCTATAACAAAGCAGGCTCAGCTCCGAGGACCCCCATTTCAGTTTTTTTTTTTTTTTCCTTCTTAATTTAAAATTTTTTTGCCATTAATAGGATGTTAGTAGGTTAATAAGTTCGATTACTACTAATGGGCATTCGATGTTGAGCTATGAAGTACGGGTACTTCAAATATGTTGCTGGACTCATATTGAGTACTCATACCTATAGGGTTGCATGCATACCGGGTACTCGAAATACGTACCAGATACTTCTTATACGTTCTTTTGTAGTTGGGTACTCTGTAGGTACATGATGGGTATATTGAGGGTATACCAAGTTATGGGACATTGGTGGAGATACATTTAATTTATTAGAGAGTTTTGATTTATTTGAAATTGCAAATCCTTCACTTGATGTGCCATAGATGAAAGATGTATTATTCAATAATGAAATTGATGGCGGTGAAAATTGAAGTTTTACTTTTTCAAATTTTGCTTAGTTCACTTTTGGAATGATCCTATGTAATGGCATTAAAACAATTTATAGACTTCACTTTTGGTTTTGTAATTTTTTCTTTTAGTTTTGGTATTGAACTCCGATTTGTAGATTGAATCTCAAACTATAAATTTAAAAAAAAAAAAAATTTATTGACGAACCCCAACCATACATGTATTCTATTTTTTTTAGGTCTTTCCGTATCGGCGTACTTGTACCAATATCCATACCCGCACCCGTACTTCATAGATATTGAGCCTTGAACCTCCCACTTAGAAGCCAAGGGGTACAACCACTTGAACTAAGCTCAAGTTCTCCCCTTCTCAGATAATGAAAACCGATTAGTTCTTCAGAATAGTTGTAGGAACATCTAGCTAAGGCTTGTTTGACATTTAGCAAAGCTATTCTCCACTTGCCTCCAGCAACTTATTCAAGAATTTTCCCCAATTAATTGCCCTGACAACTTCAAAATGGTTGTAGGAATTACTGAGATGTTGTCATGTTATATATAAATGTCATGCCTGTTTGTTGCAGGTTGTCTAGCTAGTTCGTATAGATGAGGGACAAAGTTCCCTCGTTTGGATTTTGTTGTGAGATTTCATCTCCTTGAGGCTTTCACAGATTGCACCTAACTTATCTGCTGACCAAATATGGCTTCTGATTCTGAAGGTTATTTTTATTATTTGCTAAATTCGCTCATTACTTTTTGGCTTGTATTTCTTAGGATCCCATTTACTGATTTTCATTCTTTTTTTTCCGCCTAATACAGGAAAAGTTCTTGTGATTATGGGTGCTAGCGGTGCCGGGAAATCGTAAGTCTGGATTCTACCAATTGCCTTGATCTATTTTGTGTATGCAATCCACAGATCATCATTCATATTCACTTCATAGTTGGTTAATTTTTTTATATAGTCCACTTTTAGTATATCATAATTCATGGATGCTTAAACAGAATATAGGGACAGGGGGAAAAGATATTGAGTGAAAAGGCACCTAGGCTAAATAATACAAAGATCTAATTGATCTTGCAAGCTTGAAAAATATGAAGATATAATACCTTGGGTTCCAAAATAAAATCTGCTTATTTCAAGAGCCAAAAATAAGAAACATTTCTTTCTGTTTGGCCTAAAAAAATTAAATAGAAATCCACATGAGGCTTTGTTCAAGTGATGGTGAAAATGAGCCGTTTTCTGATGCATACTTTCACTCAGTGCTATCAGAATTGAAATTGGGCAAAACATCTGAAGTTTAATATTTTCCATATCAGTTAGAAGATCTATGTTGCTTGTAGAGTGGCTTTTTGTTTTGATAATTGAGAACCCATCCTAGGCATCCATCCCAGGAAGGTAAACTCGAGGTTCAAAGGCCACCCCTTAAGCCAATGAACCGGGCAAACACGAGGATATTCAAACCCTCATTAAATCGGGTCACCCCCAGGGGTGACTTTGGACCAAAAAGAACATAATGTTCCTTGTTGCGATCCTTTGTAAAAGGCCCTTCTCTATATGGACACATGTGAGGTTAATGTTCAGCCTAATCAATTAGATATTAGATATGAACAAAGTCTTATATTAAATCCCATACTGTTGTGGAAATAAAAATTTACAGCTTGTTTTTCTCTATTTTCTTTCTGCTGATGAACAATTGTATTGCACTTGTGCTTTGACAGAACGATAGGTGAGATGCTGGCAAAGGCTATAAATTGCAGCTTTCTCGATGCTGATGATTTCCACCCACAATCAAACAAAGGTATAGGTCTGTAGGGAGTGATTTAGCTTTGAAGTTTTAAATCTCTATAAAAAACTATGTTCTTTTATTCTTCTTGTTACTTTTTTCACATTGGCTATCTTTACAACACAACAGAAAAGATGCAGAAAGGAATCCCTTTATCAGAGGAAGATCGTATTCCATGGCTTGAAGTGCTTCAAAATTCCTTGAGAGCTGACTTAGTCAGTGGCAAAACTGTGATTCTTGGTTGTTCAGCTCTGCAGAAACGGTACAGAGAAATTCTTAGATCTGCCGATGCTAACTATAGACTAGGGAGCTATTTGAGTCTGGTGAATTTTGTTTTGTTGGATGCTCGGGCTGATGTGCTAGCTGCTCGGCTACAAAAAAGGGCTTCAGAAGGGAAGCATTTCATGCCGGCTACGCTCTTGCAATCTCAACTAGATTTGCTTCAGATTGATGAATCAGAAGGGATATTAAAGGTTGATGCCACGCTAAGCCCTCTGGCCATTGTGAATGCTATAAAAGCTCTAATTTTCTCAACAAGAGTTGTTCAAAGTGAGAAAAATTTAGGAAGATCACAGTATTATGTTTGAAAGATAAAAAGTTGGCACTTTGTTGAAAACTAATTCTTCACTCTATATTGATCATAACTTTTGATGTTTTCTTACTTGAATTAATTTATCTGATGGAAACAAGTGAAACTCTACCGGGGTTGTTTAACAACTCTACCGGGTCCCAAGCACTACGCCAAAATAGGGCATTAATGGTGGTTTTTTTAACAGCGATTTTTGTTACCGTTGTTAAAGATACTATTAACAGCGGTAACAAAACTGCCGTTAATACCGCCGTTAATGTATCTTTAACGGCGGTTTCGTTACTGCTGTTAAAAAAATCGCCGCTAAAGTATCTTTAACGGCGGTAATGAAACCGCCGTTAAAAAAATTGCCACTAAAGTCCTCTTTTAACGGCGGTAACGAAACCGCCGCTAAAGCTCTCTCATTACTGCCGTTAATGACGGTGGTCTTTGCCGGCAGAGCTCCGACGGAACTCCGGCGAGTGGTGACCACGTGTGGCCAGAGGTTGAACATGACCATCTACAATAAAGCAAAAGTAATGTTTAAATATTTATTTAGGGAATATATTTCATATAGAGTAGCTGTGGTGGAGTGGTTGGCGTGCGTGGATTAGAGGTCAAGGGTTCGAGACCTAGGGGGTGCAAGAAGAGAGAATTACCTTTTTAAAAATTTGAATCTATTTACGGCGGTAAAGAACCGCCGTTTTTGGTCCTATATTACTGTCGTTTTTGGTCGACTTTTAACAACGGCAATTTACCCTTTTACGATAGTTGTACTTTTTTCGACACGAGTATAAACGGCGGTCTTAAATTACCGCCGTTAAAGGCTTTAACAACGGTTTTACATCTTTTAACGGCGGTAAAAAACCGCTGCTAAAGCCCAATTTTGGCGTAGTGAAGCTCGGATAAATGAGGAGGGTTGTGTGTTAGGTATCCGACAGTCAACACGTAAAAAAATCGTTCGGATCCCTTATGAAAATGAATGACAAAAGGTTAGATTGATGTGATTAGAGATATGTATGAAGGTATGGTGATCACTATCAGATCGCCTGTTGGAGAGACGAGTGAATTTCTAATTATTATGTTTGAAAGATAAAAAGTTGGCACTTTGTTGAAAACTAATTCTTCACTCTATGTTGATCATAACTTTTGATGTTTTCTTACTTGAATTAAGGGCTTGTTTAACAACTCTGTTGGTCCTAAGCCCGGATAAATGAGGTGGGTTGTGTGTTAGGTAATCGACAACCAACAAGTAAAAAAGCCATTCGGATCCCTTATGAAAATGAATGACAAAAGGTTAGATTGATGTGATTAGAGATATGTATAAAGGTGTGGTGACCGCTATTAGATTACCTACTAGAGAGTCGAATGAATTTCCAATTACTATAGGGCTACACCAAGGATCAGTTTTCAGTCGTTATCTTTTTGCATTAGTTATAGACGAGTTGACGTGAAATATTCAGGATGATATGCCATGGTGTATACTTTTTGTAGATGATATCATGTTAGTGGATGAGACTAGAGAATGAGTTAACATTAAGTTGGAGATTTGGAGAAAAACACTTGAATCTAAAGGATTTAGGATAAACAAAACTAAGATAGAGTACATAGAGTGTAATTTTAGTAACAGTAACAATGGAAGCAGGGGAGAAGTGAAGATTGAGAATCAAGAATAACCTAAGAGTGAACATTTCATTATTTAGGATCGATTATCACAAAAACTAGGGAGATTGGAGCATATGTGGTCGATAGAATTAAGGCGGGATGACTTAAGTGAAGGAGTGCGTTGGGAAGTTCTATAGAACGACTATTAGACTAACGATATTTTATGAGATGGAATGTTAGGCAACTAAAAAAATCACATGTAGATAAAATGAGTGTTATTGAGATGAGAATGCTAAGATGGATGTGTGGCAAGATTAGAAAAGATAGAGTTAGGAATGAATATATTGGAAAATGGGTAGAAGTAGTACTGATAGAAGATAAGTTGAGAGAGAATAGATTGAGATGGTTTGGTCATATACAATGGAGACCAATAGAGGCAGTAGTAAAGAGATGCGATACAGTAACGGTAGATGGTAGTATTAGGGGAAGTGGCAGACCTAGATTGACGTGGACTAGTACAGTGAATAGAAATATGAATCTCCTTAATTTGATTAATGAAATGACATTGAATATAGTCGAGTGACGAAGAAAAACTCATGCAGCCGACCTCATTTGATGGGACTTAAGGCTTGGTTTGGTTTGGAAATAAGTGAACTTCTTGATTGATTATGTGTTTCTCTTAACTTCTCTCACTTGAAGTGGAATTCTCAATTTTCTGCATAAATTCATTCTCTTGAATCTGAATTTCATTGAGCAGCAAGGCTGGCGATGCAATCTACTTAACGGGTTCGAGCTTCATTCTCTCCCTAAGCTATTGTATTGAAGTTCTTGTGTTTAAAATATATATATATATATATTAATTAATTAAGAAATCTATTGAAATGCTACATCACAAATTGCATCTTTCATTTGGCTCCTTTTTGTGCCTTTTTTTCTTGGGTGAAAGAAAATATGCTTTAATGCTCCTATTGTTTAAAAAAACCATCCCTACCACAGAGTTTAATTGTATATGGTTCCACATGCCTTGACATTTATGATAGAGAAGGTTAAGAAATATGTTTTTTTGATCAGCGAAAGTTAGTTGTTAGATTAATACTAAAACACCAAATGCCTGTCTCCTTAATTTGATTCTCCTAGGGAGAGTTAAACCCATGACCTTTCTCTCAGAACTAAACCCTTAGGAAAGTTATGGTAGTCAATTAGACCAGGCCTAGTTGGTTGAGGTTAAGAAACATGTTGACAAAATGAGTGTAGCTATTATTGGACTAGTAAAATAAAAGAGTGATGATGTCTCATATTGAGGGCTAGCTATATCAAGGGAGAAAGTCTATGATTTTTGCAAGCGTTACTATATGACTTTTTTTCCTTTTTCTTTTTATTTTTTTAGAAAACGATATTCATATAGAATATTCACACAAAATTTAAGACAAGAATAATATGCAACGTTATTCTTGCAATCATGTGTAAGATTGATGTGGATTTTGACTTCCAATGAGTGGTTATAAATGATACATATCATTATGTATGGAGAGTTTTTATTTTCACACAAAAAAAAACCTCATAGCACACATTTTTTTTCCCCTCTCAATACAAACAATAATTTTTTTCTTATAAAAAAAATAATATTTTACTTAGTACATAACTCATCATGTCAAAATTATCCTTACCTTCTTCAACTTTCAAACCCTAATCCTAACATCCTATTTAACCATTGTCAGCCAACCACCGGCGTCCTCTTCTAACCACCCCAACCCCTCCCCCACCTTCTACTGTTGCCGTTACATTCTTCCTCATCTTTCCCCAACCAACTTAGCCCCTCCCTCATCGACCACAATGACAATAGATATGTTCAATGCTAGTTTTCTGAATTTGTTCATGATTGACATCTAAACAACTATTACTGGTTTGATGATTGATATTTGAATGATGACGATTGGTTTGGTGCTGGTAGTTTGAATGTTAAAGGGCATTGTAGCAGTAAAGGGTGGTTCTAAAAAAAAGAGAGAGGTTCTCTCAAAAGGGGGTTCTTGGTGGTGGGGGTGGTGTGGCTAATGGTGATGGTATGCAGTTGACAAAAATGAGAGAGGTTCGCTCGAAAGGGGACTCTCTGTGGCGATGGTGATGGTGATGGATTGGGAATTAGGGTTTGGGATGGACAAGATATTATGATAGTATGTCAAAATAAAAATGTTTATTATTTAAAATTTGTGAATTATTAAACAATTTTGCTAGGGTAAAAGAGTAAATTAATAGTTTATTTATTTATTTATTTTTTAAATTAAGGGAGACTATCTCTAATATGATAAATCCATCAGGGGTCTAACTCTAAAGATTTGAATTGTTCATTTTATTAGATCATGTGTATAATTAGTTGTAAAATAATGAGATTAATATAATAAGGGTCTTGCGAATAAGCACCTTTAGCACAAAAGTAAAAGACAAAATTTAAAGAGTACAAGACATTTTTTTATTAAATTTAATGTACTTTTACTGAAATTAATACACTTTTTAATAATTATATATATTTTCAAGGTATTTTCTACACACTTCTAACATTAAACAATGCATATGGGACATTTGTTAGCATTTATTACAATAATTATAATTATTTAATTTAATCACATTTGTTTTAGAAAAATTAATAATTTATTTTTAAAAAGAGAATTCTATTATACACACCCTATACCATATGCACATTGAGCTACACTATTTTCTTGCTTAGTTATAATTAATTTTCTTCTTTAGTTATGACATCATTATTTTGAGATATTTGATTATGACTTTTGTGTTTAGTTATATATATATATATATATATATACTAGCGTATACCTGTGCCTGAAGGCACGGTGTAAATAATGTTGAGATTAGAATATAATTATAATCCCAATACTATTTAATAAATTATCAATTGTTAATTTAATATAATTGTAATCCCAACCCTTCTTGTCTTAAAAATAAATTATCAATTATAAAGATGAAATTATGCCTTCAACTTGAAAATCCCTGTTTCTATACCAAGAAAATGGCATAGGCAAACAACCATTGTTGAGCTTTGGTGACCCACCATGAAACAAACTCAAAAACATCTATCTAAGTTCATAGAAGCTGTGGGAGTTTTCAATCAAATGAAGTGATTTGAAATTAAACTTTATAAGAACATAGGCGAGTTTTCAAATGAAATTCAATTAACGCCCAAATAGTTTTATTTTAGTTTAATTATGTGTTTATGCAATCTTTAAGTTGTTGTTATGTTATTTCATTTACAGTCAACAATAAAGAAAAAAGTTTTGCGAGCAGGTAAAGAACAAAGTTTTCAAACAATCAAAGCAAATGCAAACTCAATGTTTGAACTTTCAAGGAAGGAGAAAAAAAAAAATGCTTGAAAACAAAAACCTATTTGGTAAATTTTTGGCAAATTTTCTACAGACTTAAAAGCCTAGAATAAAACATCCACTGTTTAATTGAGATTGAGATGGGCTCAACTCCAAAATACATTATTATT